ATAGCATTTGAGAATGCATGAAATCGATCTTTTTCGTCCATAAACTTTCTAGTAAGAGCAGGTTATGGAGACATATTTTATTTCTATTGAATGAGTGGATATACAATTTCTTTTAGCAATTTTGTTTGTTTCCTTTTTTCTTTTACTGTGTTTGTTATCTTGATAGAATACTTCTTGATGCGTAGGAGGCCATTCACTTAAGAAAATATGTCATGCAGTGAAAATTTGACATATATAAAATGTAATAACAACCTATATGACATATATCATAATATGTATGTGAGCGAATAACTTATATTATTATTAGTTATCCAAATTAAATTAATAGCATAAATGATTTTCGCGACGTACCAACTTCGTTAAATTCAGTTTAGGGGTAGACTATGTAATTATCATTTAGTGATTGTACAAACAGTAAGAACCGCTGAGTGTGCCAAAATACCTGTTTTTTTTTTTTCTAATTACAATTAAAATAAACTCAAGTTCCTTGATCGGCCTTATTTTTTTTCTATTTTTTAATCACAAAGAGACAAAGAAAAGATCCTTGGTTTCTGTTTTTCTCTTCAATGATTAGTGATGGGACGGGCCCCACGCGCGTGAAACAGATATTATTTTGAAATCAGCTTTTGTCACGACAGTTGGACTCTTTCTGTCTGGGATGCAGACGTGGGAGGAATGTTAATGATGAGAGAGTTCCAAAGTATAAATATTACAACTTCTTCTCTCTCTTTTTTTTTGGGTATGAATACATATTACTTTTCAATAAAAGTACTCGGTTTGAGACTTCTTTTAATTTCTGGTTTCTGCTTTTGGTAGGCCTCTCTTAAGAGTTATTTTACATTCTGGACTCCTCAAATATTTATTAAAATAGGACTTAAAAGACGATTTCAAGTAAAGCGAGACCATAAAAATATTTCAAAGTTCGGAGTAATTTCTGTATCTTGACTCAAAAAATTCATGAGCAAAGTTAGAATCCTGTTCGGACACACTTGCTAATAATCTAAAGGCATTTCTTTTATATCACGGTAACCACACCGGTTGCGTAAGTGCCGTTGTGCCCATCAATATTTAAATGGGAAGACCTGAAGATTCCAAATACTTAAAAAAGTAAATGATAAAAAAAAAGGGGGAGAAAGATGAAAGAAGATGACCCAAGTTGACAAGAGTTCTTGGCTTTAATTATCAATGTAGAAAGTGGAGATGAGAAATTCTACACTCTTTTCTGATTTAAAAAGTAAAAGAGAAATAGTGAAGCTCCGCCCTTGGGCAAGAGGAAGGTGCTGAGAGGCCCACGTCCCTTGACTAGCTGAGAAGAGAGATAGATTTGAGATTTCCCTCACATCTCTTGACTAGCTGAGAAGATTAGATAGATTTGAGATTACCCTTTATTAATTTTTTTAATCTTTTCCTGGGATTTTCTTTCTATCTTTTTGTCTTTTTATGATGATGATCATTACGTGACATTTCCAAAACCAGCAGCACGCAACCATTTTAAATTTTTAATACGGTCATCTATTCTCTCTCTCTCACTTTTCATACAACACATGTTGCCATCCTCTTTCCATTCACGTTAAGATTTTCGAGAAATAAAATTGTTAACTTGTCCTTTCCATTCCCGTCAGATTCCATGATTCACTTAGAGACAAATCCTCGAACCGTAGTTCTTTATATTTTTTTTCATAATTTATACATAAAATTTCGCAACATGCAAAAACTTAAAAATTTTACAATCAACGGACATAATTTACATTTTCGTAATTCTTTATAAAACTTTCCAACGCACAAAAATTTAAACAATATAAGACCAACGAGCATGATTTACCTTTTTATTGATGATTGTCGAAAAATTGGAGATTGGGCGAGAAACACTGCTCTCTCTCTCTCTCGTATGCACGATAACGGGGGAAATTGTCCAATCAAATTGCTTCTTGGCTAGCCAATGTAGTAGACCAATAGAAATGTCACGCACGCCCGTAGGATCGAACTACCTTCGCTTCCACAGCAAGACTAACTTTATTTGCTCAACTGAACCATGTAAATTGCTTCCTAGTATCACACTAAGCAATTATTATTTTTTTTGGTAAGTGACACTAAGCAATTATTGATAGTGCACGCATCAAAGAAATGCCATGGCGAATCATGTCGAGAAAAGGAATCCGTTTTCCCTGATAATTAACCCAATGCCTCAGCTAGATGGTCCGGAAAAATTCGAAACACTCAGCGTAAGGACCTTGGACTCATTATAATGACCGCCAGACCTTCCCCAACAAAAGTTAATTGAAATTGACATGTTTGTTGGACCCAACCAGAGGTTTAATGTGGACAGCTTGAGTGCAGTGTTCATGTACAGAAATCTCATTACTCCAAATATGATTATTGTCATCATCTTCAGAGTTTTTAGTCCCATGCATTAGCCAATATTTCACGCTAGCAAAATTTCTTTTCACGCTAGATCTGGCCCTCTCCAATAGATACATGAGTTTCAATTAACCAGATTAGGAGTCTGAGAGACTTGATTAATAAGAAAAAGTCTTGGGAATTCAAGAACTTCATTTTGGACAAATTAAAAATTAAAGGATTTGATTCGAAAAAAAAAATGCTAGTTTAGGGACCAAAGTAGACGTTTACCTTTTAAGAAACACAGGACACATGTCATTGTTATTCACTTCAGATCTCGATACTTCATATGTACGCTTCACCTTATCAAGCATCTGAGTGTTATGAATGAGTATATATTCAACGTGTTGTATTGTATCCACGATCAGAAGAAAGGGCAATTTTTTATGATTTCAGTTGAAGTTTTTCTTAACAGACATTGGGCCCATCCAGCCTCGTTTGATGACTTTGGGCCTACGAGATTTCGGCAAGCCTGAGCTAAATCCATCAAATTAATCTTGTAAAGTCAGTCATCAAGGTTGGACAATATACGCATGCATCATGAAAATTGCAAGGGCCATGCATGAAAGCATTGTTTCTTTCTAGTTTCCAAAGTGAAGCATAATGAAAGCGGGACGGATTAGGATGAATTTTAGTGAAGTAATCTTGAATCCTCAAGGGAAAGAAAATCTGGTTCACCAGAGAAATATGAATGAACTCAAATATTATTGATGCAAAAGCGAATTATAATCGAAGAGAATGTACGCAACAGGAGACCATGCAAAATTCTGCCTCAAAAGGTGCACGTAATAGCCCAAGTTGTTTTGGTCGTGCAATCATATGGGCGCCCTGAAGGACAATCATCTTCGTACTTTTGGTCTATGATCTTTAACTCTCTAGACCTTTCTATCTTTGTGAGGACTTGATCCTTGAGTTTGTACAATTTGCATGTACAAATCAAACTAATTTGAGCCATTAAACTAGATAGGCCCGGGAGATCCACATGATATAATGGAATATATGCCCCGGGCTCACGCGCATAAAGGTCAACTCTTGGATTGCCTATAATAATTATAATGCCATATCGTAATTCAATCTTGGGCATACCCACGAATCGTAAGATAGGATGTAAAACTTTTGGGTAAAGTTGGTATACTAAATAAGTTAGACAAACTGTATTGCAATAGGTCTTTAGTAGGCAAGATACATTTCTTTTTAGTGATAATTACAAAAAAAAAGTCTTAAATCTATTATACGAATGCTAATTCAATCATATACCTTTCAATTTTGCTTATTGAGTCATAAACCTTCGGACAATTGTGGTCAGCAATCGCTGACATAGATTCTGGTCGTCCTATATGGCACGGTATGCATTCACGTGGACAATTTTTTCATTTTTCATAAAATTTTTTGAATTTTTTATAATTTTTTTGTTATTTCTTTTCTTATTCTTTTTCTTTCTTTCGTTTCCCTTTTTTATCTACTAAGTCCATCGCCGGTGTCACAACCTCCCCGAACTGGCCTCGCCACCTAGGGGATTTGGCTAATGGATTACTAAGTTAAACCTAGCTCGAGCTCTCCCAAACTCATACCAATTCGCGACTTAGGTTTTGAGTTATTAACACGCAAATCAATTTCATCTAGGAGTCGCCACTAATCAGTTTTTAGTGGATCGACTAGACACCCAAGTAAAGCACGGGAGAAATGCTTCACTTCTACGAACTAAAGATTCAATGAGTTTGGGAACTTGATTACACTAATTAATCAACTAGTGCCCTTTCGATACCTAACCTTGTTCAATTATTGCCTAATGTGTTCACACTAATTGGGAGTCTAAAAATTCCATTCCTAACCAAGCTAGGGGAAGCAGCAATCAACACATGAACCTAACATGCATAATCAACCACGTGCAAGGTTAAATTAAACGCGCAATTCAAGGTGTGTGAATCAAGTAATGTGCAATCAAACATGATGCTAATCACACGAAGAGTGCAAAAAAGGGGCAATTCCAAAGCCCAATTTTCAATTTTCGAAATTTCTTTAATTTTTTAATTTTTTTTAATAAAAATATTAACTTTCAATCTGAAAATAGGGAATCGGGCAGGGCCTTGGAGCCCAATCCGAATATGGACTGCGAACAGGCCACTTGATCGTGCCATAGACAAAAGTGGGCCCTTTCTCAAGCCTACTCAAACCAACAACAAACCCAAAGAAGCCAATTTAAACTCAACACTCACTGCTCTTATGATAAAAACTAAGCCCAGACTCACCAAAATAACACTCTAAGCCCAAGGCTCACTAAGTCTAAATGAGCCCAAAGTCCACTACTACGGTACTGCTCTCGGCCCCTCCTTCACAAATTTCCAACCCACGTCTCCTTCTTCAAGCATGCCCAGAACACCCAAAGATTTGCTTACCGACTCCAGAACAAAAACATTCCAGCCATGAACATTATGTTTCACAGTCAGTCGATACGCGTCCATTCATCGGACCTCTACCGTCTGCCACATATTCGTCCATCGCCTATTCTCGACTACCGAACATTTGACATTCAAAATCACAGGATAAGAGGACCGAATATAGTAGAGTTCAGAGAAGCAAGCCAACGCAAATGTCTCAAAAGATTGACGTTTCAAGCATGGACATTTATCATTTCCTCATGCACAAGAATGCTCAAAGAAAATCTCATGCTCAGACTTGGTTCGACGATGAAAGTAATGCTCAACAAGCAAAAAAGAGTTTATAATGACGTCGAACTTACTTATACGCACGTAAGAACAAATGGAAATCAGCAAAGCCAGTACACGGGCTGAGTTGGGCATATTGTCAAACACGTGGTGAGCAAGAGCCGAGCACAAGACATCGAACATTTTTAAAACTCGAATCGAGATATAGACCCAACGGAAACCATCACCAGACCAGCCAAATAACCACGTCAGCTCACCCAAACTTAGCACACCTATGGACCCCGAACAAAGAATGAGTAGGTTTTACGGTTCGGTCAAAACAGGGGAAGACGACGAAAAGTTCGCGGCGCGAGCGTTTAATCGCAGACCCCTACCTGGCTTGGAGACGATGGTTAAAGGGTGCGCTCGACACAAATCGTGCCATGGCTGACTGCCTCGACGCCTCCGAGCCGAGATCCTCGGGTATGGGGGTTCAGGACCAAGAAAAGGGCTCACCGGAAACACGGACACCGGGGGGGTGGCATGTCGGGGACGTTGGCCGGGAGAGGTCGTCGTCCAAGGTTCGGCCGCGATGGTCGCCGTAGGATGCGTCGTTCGTTCTCGACTCCGCTTCTCACTCTCGCCGATCTCTCCTCCCGTTCTCTCTTCTTTTTTGCTCTCTGTTCTCTTCCCTTTCTTCCTCCCGTCTCTCCTCTCGCTCTCCTTCAAACCAGCCCCCCAGTATCTCTCGCCGAGCCTCCTCCTTTTAGACTCCCGCCGGCCCTTTCTCTTTGGCGTCCCTCCAAAACGGTCCCCGGGGTCAGTCAATGGATCCAGCTCTTTTTCTTTCTATTTCCAGCTCGAAGCTGCCACTGATCAGTCTGCCCTCACTGCTCTGCTCTGCTTCTTTGTCTTGGTCAGAACGCATACGGGGAGGAGAGAGGAAGAGAGGAAGAGAGGCTGGGCTTGGGGGAAAGAAGAAAAGAGATGGGCCGAGCTGGGCCCAGACGCGAAGAAAGAAAGAAAAAAAAGGGGAGCTGGGCTGACACGGCCCCGATTCGCGCCCTTTTTCTATTTTTCTAATTTTTTTTTAATTTTTATAATGATTTTTTAAATAAAATAAATTAAAAGGAAAATATGTTTCACTAAATTCTATTAATGCAAATGCGCCTAATATCTATGTGCCATGTAATTTAATGAAAATATTTTTGCTTAAGGGTTAAAAATAAACCCCTAATTTTCTACACACTTAAACCCTAAATGACTTGGCAAAATTTAGGTGTCAACAGCCGGCCGACCCTCACTGGCCTTAGACGAAAAAAAAAATGGAAATCAAAGAAAGTAAAAGAAAAATCAATAAATTTATGAAAAAATCATAAAATTTAAAAAAATTGTAAATATTGTTTACATCAGCGCCAATTGTATCACGTAAGACAACCGACATATATGTCGGCGATACCCTGACTAGAGAAGTAATTTTTGGAGGCCAAAATTCGCTGAAAGGACTATATTGACAAATCGTCAAAAAGTTTATAACTAAATTGGCTATATTAAAAGATTTGGGATTGAATTGACATCCGTATAATAGGTTTATAACTTTTTTAGTAATTTTTCCTTTTTTTTAAAAGGGTTAATACCACAAAAAACCCTAAACTGGTACACTTGTGACACATTTACCCCAAACTACTTTTTTTTACAAAAAAAAACCCCAAACTGGTACACCTGTGACAATTTTACCCTGAACTATTTTTTTGACAATCAAAAACCTCAAACTGGTACACCTGTGACAATTTTACCCTGAACTTACCAAAAAAAAAACCCTAAACTAGTACATATGTGACAATTTTACCATGAATTAAAATTTTAATTTTAATTTTTTATTTTTTTTTCGAATTTTTATTTATTTTTTATTCTTTTCTTTTCTTTTTTTTTTTTCATCTTCAAACTCTGGCCGGTCGCCGGTCCGGCGACCGGCCAGAGGCGGAAGCCGGCAAGGGCCGCCCTCGCCCGCCCAGGGCAAGGGCGACCCTCGCCCGGCTCAGGCGAGGGCGGCCCTCGCCCAACGCAGCGAGGGTCGCCCTCGCCGGTATCGGGCGAGGGCTACCCTCGCCGAAATCGGCGAGGGTCGCCCTCGCCGGTGCTCGGCGAGGGCTACCCTCGCCGAATCTGGCGAGGGCCGCCCTCACCAGCGTCGAGCGGCCCTCGCCCGACGCCTGATCTGGCGAGGGCGACCTTCGCCTGCGTCGGGCGAGGGCCGTCCTCGCTTGAGTCGGGCGAGGGTCGCCCTTGCCCTAGGCGGGCGAGGACGGCCCTCGCCCAACGTAGGCGAGGGTCGCTTGACGCAACCGAGGGTCACCCTCGCCCGATACCGGCGAGGGTCGCCCTCGCCGGATCTGGGGAGGGCGGCCCTTGCCCTACGCCGGCTAGGGCGGCCCTCGTCGGCTTCCGCCTCTGGCCGGTCGCCGGCGACCGGCCAGAGGTTGAAGGTGAAGGAAAAAAAAAAGAAAAGAAAAGAAAAGAAAAAAGAAAAAATTCAAAAAAATTCAAAAAAAATAATATTAAAAATTAGTTCGGGATAAAATTGTCACATGTGTACCAGTTTAGGGTTTTTTGTGGTATGTTTGGGATAAAATTGTCACAGGTGTACCAGTTTGGGATTTTTTATAGTCAAAAAAATAATTTGGGGTAAATGTGTCACAAGTGTACCAGTTTAGGGTTTTTCGTGGTATTAACCCTTTTTAAAACAAAAGGGCAAGATAGTAAGTCAAACAAGATATTTTACAATCATTTCCAGATGAAGGTAACATAAACTAGGATTAGATGGAAGAATTTTAGTGTAGAAATTCTTTACGCTCACACCGGACCTGTACCCGATTATACTCCTGTATCATGCTTTCGCTCATGAATGGACGAACGTACGTACTTAACATTCCAAAAAAGAAATATCAATCTCTGTGCTTTCATGAACACATGCAATATTCCATAGATGCGTACGATACTATATAATATGGACCGACTGATACATTTCATACACGTGTATCGGAGAATCGGGAAAGAATGAATTTTCGAACTCGTAACAGATACTGCACTATGTAACGACGAGATATACAGTCCAACCTCTGCTTGTCATTTCGTCAACTGTCGGTAAGCGTTCAGCAAGTTAGCTTAGTGCAGATCTCATATTTTTCATCTTCTGTACAAATCAGCTTGCTTTAATGCAGCACGTACGACTAGAGAATCACTCGGGTTTTCCTTAGTTTAGTTCACCACCTTAAACAGCTCACTGACAAAGACACTGATGGAGACGCGATCAATTTGTTGTATCCATCATCTTTCCATTGATCAAGTCCTACGGCCTTTCGAGAACAATGAGAACATCGATCGCATGAAAGCGATGCGCAACTTGCTCTACCACGAGACATGGAATTATTTGATTAGTTTTTTCCTTACGTAAATATTCATCTGTGATCCAAGTGCAACTCCCTAAAAGCTCTCGGTTACCAACTTGTGATCCCAAATTCTATTTCCTTTTTTGATCAATCAATGAGTCTTATGTCCGATTATGTTGGTATCTCCGTATATATTATGCAGATACGAGAACATTACCGACACAAAAAATAAAACGAGACAGTTCATTTGCATCCATGAAAATTAATCGGGCCATAGGTTTTGTCTGTCGTATGCTATCCCAAGAATACGTGTTCAATACGATTGAGAGCTCACCCGGATCGCGTTCTGTTTTTCCAAGTCATAGACAGTATCGCTCTTTTCTTTTTGTCTTGTGCCTCAACGTTTTATGCCGAACCCAACTAAATCATGTGTCCTCTTCAACGGGTCAAATCACGAGTGCTTATATTGCATGCCATCTTTATCTCTTTGTTATGAGGTTTTGCATGATCTAGAATTGCATGCGTTGCATTTCTCCAACTTGCGATCTAAGTATACCACATAATCCTGCAGCCCCCAGCTCGCTTTCTTGTTTTTTATCTTTTTTTTCCTTCCTTAATTTTTGCAAGGAATTATCTTTTACAGCTGGAGGAGTTATGTATGTTGAAAACAAAAAGAATGTCGTGCCAAGAAGAGCGGCAAGACTTCAACATCAGAGACCGACCCCTCTCTCTCTCTCCCTCTCACACACACACACACATTGACCCACCCTCCTCATACTAATATCCTATGGCCATCCCCCGCTGTCCCACCGGTTTGTTCTCACTCACTTCTTCCTTTTCCTTTCCTCGCTCTTCAGACGACGCCATCTTTCTCCTCCGTTTTCATCATTGCGGGCATCGACCTTTTGGAAGCGCACGTAATCATATTAGCTTCCTCATCCTGAGTTGTCTTGTTCTTCTCTTCAGTTGGTGGGTCTTTTGCAGGTAAATCAGCTCAAGCACAAGGTCAAGAGAGTGGGAAAAGAGCCACGAGAGAAAATGGTGATGGAGATCATTAAGGAGGTACCGACGACATTGATGCAGTTGATGTGGAAAGTGGTGGGACCTCAAGATCTGAAACTTGGAGATCACATTTATAGATATGGGTTCTATGGCTTGTACAGCCATCATGGTGAGTCCTCGTCATCTTCCTCATTTTGCACTAGTCCTTTTTTAACCTACTTCTTTTTCTGGCCAATCTTTTTGCTCTTTAGCCAATCAATTTACACTGATCAACTCCAATTCCAACAACACCTACGAGCCTCAGGAGAAAGTAAAATGTTTCCAGCGGATGGTCCGTCATGTTGAAACCACGAGAGAAGAGAAAAACTACAAAGATGTGTACTCCTAAGCAAACGTCACTTTCCTGTTGAAGAGGATATAGGGTGCGTTTAGTTTAGTTTTCCAAAATGACTTTAAGCCTCTAAAATTCATTGGGAAAAGTTAGGGCCTTTGGTAAAAAAATTTCAGAGTATTGAATAAATGCAATATTGGTAAACCTGAAAACCCAAGGCAAGAGCCTAAGTCAATACCTGCCTTGGGCTCTTATCATTTTAAGAACTCTATTGTGACGTTTAATGACTTTCTTTTCTTCCAATCTTGCCCTCACTAAAAATTGGGTATTCCACTATTGCCCTCTAAAAACTCTGTTGATCTTCTTTCTCATACACTCTCCATGTGCTCGCTAGTTGCGCTGGTCACTGAGGTTGAGGTCGTCGGTCGTCGTAGTCGAGGCTCACTTGGGGTCATGCGAACTTGGTGGCGGTTGCCTGGGGTCACACGACCTCAGGGCGACCCAAATCTTGCCCTTCGGTAGTGGTCATCGAGGTCACGTGATCTCGGCGTTGCCTTGCCTAGCGTCATGCATTCTTGGCAGCCCATCGCTTGGGGTCGCACAACCTTAGCGGCCCGCTCTTGGGTTGTGTCAACCGTCAGAGGGCCAAAACTGGATTGCTTCCTAGCGACCCTCACCTAGGGTCACATGACCTCGGCAACGGGCCGTTGCCACTCTTTTAGGCTTCGCCTCGGCTGCTGTCTTTCATTAATCTATGCTTCCACTTTCATTCTTCTTCTCTTTTAAACTAAAGTCCTTTGTAAATTTGTGGCAAATAGTGATGACCCAAATACTATTTGCATTTTGCGAAACCCATTTAACCTAAACTCCTTTGCATTTATGTAAAGGTAGCTCACAAAAGTTAAATCAAACGCACCTTTAAAACAAGTCCACGGCAAGTGGACATTTGGGTCGACTGTGGTTTGTGGAGTTCATTTTCTCAAGCTATTTCTCCCAAGCCAAACTTCAACGTTTGCCCTCAGCCCAAATTAAATGATAAATCAATTCCCACTTGTCATCTCGAAGAATTCCGGGTCGAGCCGCAGCCCCACCCGGTTTACCTTTGGCTTTGGAGGCTCCATTAGTGTGGAGTTCAATCAATCCCCACGGTTTCGCTCTCTTTTCATGCCATTTTCTTTCATTTCATATGTCTATTCCTGTAGCCAGAGAAAAGGCATGAAAAAGTTCTGATAATCTTTCCTTTTTCTTCAATCAATCCTGGAGTGAGAGAATTCTAGAGCTGAGCTGGAATTACAACAGATTTCATTTCAATTGAACCTGCCAAAAAAAGATTAGAAATTAATTTAGATTGCTAATCCTTTTTAGGTAAAATCGGCCTACACGTCTATCAAAATCAGATGTTTGTGAATATTTCTTGCATGTTCCACAGTTCGAACCAAGATCGTCTCTAACCAAAAGTCAATCTTCGTTCATATGGATTAAAATTTGATTCCTTACCGTGTTCCATACGCATATATATAATAGGAATTTACGTCGGCGACGGCTACATGATTCACTTTACCCGAACTCAGAGCCAAAAAACAATAGTCCCGTCGCTGTCCAATATTAGCCACAAGCAAGAAAATTTGCCTCCCTGCCCAAAATGTGAATACCAGGAGAGCATCCACCGTGGCGTTGTCAAAACTTGTCTCGATTGCTTTCGGCGGGACGGCAAAAAACTTCGATCCCTTCACTGTTATGAATACGGGTGGCCAGTACTAGGGTTTAAGCTCGCGAGGCGAGGAACTTGCACCACACTACTCGATACCAAATTGCCCCATGAAGTCGTCGTCAATAAGGCTCACAACCTTCTTGCCAACGGTGCGTTTGGCAACTACAGCCTAATCAACAACAACTGTGAGCATTTTGCCACATTTTGCCGGATCGACGTTCGTGCTAGTGAACAGACGACACTTGTCAGTGATTGTGAGCAGAAAATTGGGGAAGCTAAAGAATGGACCATGAAGTTGCTGCAGAGAAACTGAATTCAAGTGATCCAATCTTCCTCCAATCTTGTATTGTCTGTCTGTCTGTCTGTCTGCTTTTTTGTATATCTGTTTCTTTGTATATTCAATTGCGAGAGACATCCACACGTGCACAGAAAAACAAATTTGAATAGAAAAATGTGTCCCACTTAGCTTATTCGTGTATGGACATGTTTATGTGGAGATATATTTTTTAAGTTTATGAAAAGGGTCTAACAATGGTCATTATATTCCATGTCCAGAAATATGATTAATTATTTGTTGGCATTTGGTGTTCCTTATGAGTAATGCTTTGTGATATTTTTTGAAATCACAGCCTAATGTTCTAAAAGTTTAAACCTTCGCATGAAAATTTGATTTGATATCTATATCTCTAACACTCCCCTCATGAGTAAGCGAACTTTGAGCTAAGACTAAGCGTATACATGTACAAGTATAATATATATATATATATATATATATATATATATATATGTAGCAGGCAAATAAGGGGTTTGGAAAGATTTAAACACAAAACCTCCAGCTCTGATGTGATGTATGATTTTGTGGAACCGTTGCCAACTATTATAAACACTTAGAATATTAAATGAAAGCGTGTTGTGATATTTTAATATTCTCACGAGGCGAACGGTCCTCCCAGTCAAATATGCCGAAAGGCAAGAGCAGATGCTGATGGAACCTCACATTCATATACCACTTCATGAATAATGATATTTGGCACCACATAAAATTGATCTATCGATGACAACGAGGTGAGTTTTTTAGTAGGGTTCGAAAAATGACTCGCAGGCCAACGAGTGTCTAGCAAGAACTCATCCTATAATAATAATACAAGTAGACGTAGAAATACAAAACTTTCGAAAACGATTTGAATTGCAGCATATGTACTAATTTTGATTTTTTATTTCCTTCGCTTCAAACCCATTTGCATTGAAAATATTGGCAAAAACCCAGAAAGATATTTGTAATTTTAGAATGCATCATTTATCTGTTTGGTCCATAAACTTTCCAATTAGGGCGGGTCATGGAGACACAGATTTAATTTCTATTAGATGAGCAGATATACCTTTTTAGTATTGTTGTTTCTTTTTCCCTTATTTTTTTTACATTAAAATAATACTTCTCAAAACCAAGGAGTTCCATTCATTTAAAAGAGGTAATACTAACCTATTTTTTATTTTAACGTAATGCCTTCCCAAACTTGTGGGTCTCTTCAACCTTTGATAGATGTTCATGCTGAACATTTGTAATATTCCATGATACAGACCGACTGATACAATTCGTACAAGTGTAGCACAGAATCAGGAGAGCATTATTATTTGAACTCTTAACAGATATTGAACTGCGCAACGACATAGATTTATAGTCTAACCTCCGCTTGTCATCTTATCAACTGTCGGAAGTGTTCTTCTTCTTCTTTCTTTTGTTTTTGTTCTTTGAGTAGAACAAATCAGTTTGCTTTCAATTTTAGTGCAGCATGGACGACAAGATCCGCTTGGGTTTTGCTTAGTTTTGTTCACCACCTCGAACAACTCACTGACAAAGACACTGACAGAGACAGGATCAATCTGCTGTATTTAATATTCATCATCTTCCCATTAATTAAGTCCTATCGCCTTTCAAGAAGAATGGGGACATTAATCGTATGGAAGAAAGTCGCTTTGGTATGAAACCTGAACATGCATAACTTGCCCAACAAGACCCGAAATTACTTGATTAGTTTTTTTTTTCTTACTTAAATATCAATTTGTATCGAAATAATTTCTTCATAAAGACGAAAAGGAGCTATACAATTTCAAGGTTCCTGTCAAAATTCTGTTTCGTGCGGGAGGCCTGTAGTACTTAGTGAGACCGAACCTTCGAGATGTATTTTTCATTTCATTGTATGAGTGGGAGATACATTAATCGATCGTCTCTTATATTTTACTTTTGAAAAGTGTATCGTAAAATCGAGGATGCAATTTCACTTAAGATAAAAGTAACGTCATTCTTATAAATTTCGAATCATGTATTAGATATAAAACTGACCCCCTGTTTTAATATTAGTTCCGATGCCTTCTCATGAAGTTTGAAAAGTATAATATACATCAACAAATTTGAATGAGGCTATCTTAGCATGGATTGAGTATGATATGAATGCACAACTCATGTATTATGTAAGATGTATTCGAAAAAAAAAATCTTATTGAAGGGAAAATTACAAAAAATCATAAACCTTTTCATATGTGTCATTCAGTTTTAAACTTTTTACTTTGACCAATTTAGTGCTAAACCTTTTGACATTTTGCTAATATAATCCATCATGCCAATTTTCGCCTGACATCACTGATGTGGACGTTGGCCATTCTACATGACATAGCCGGTACTAACATAAATAATTTTTTTAATTTTTCGATTTTCGTTTTTTCTTCTCTTTTGCTTCTTCTATTCTTTTTCTAATTGTGGTCGGCGAGCTTCGGCAAGGCTCGTCCAATGGGGCCACGAGGCCTTCGCCGGCCATAGCGAAAGGTAAAAAAGAAGGAAAAGAGAAGAAAAGGAAAAAGGAAAGAAAAACGTAGGACGGTCACCATCCACGTCTGCAATTTTTTACCAAAATTCAGTGGAAAATTTTCAAAAGGTTTATGACTTTTTTTGGTAATTATCCCTCTTATTGCACTACATTGATCAAGTCGGGATGGATGCAGATGGTTTGAACTTGAGCACTATTAATATCCCATCTTATCAAGATAATTACATAATTTTTCCAACGGACCCAATTTCACGGTGAAATTTACTATATATTCTTGTGTTGTATTGGGAATTGCCAAATCCACATCTTCGTGTTATTAAAAAGCAAAGTAGATTTTTATTTTATTTTATTATCTTTAATATTTTTAGGAATCTCAAACATATTGTTTATTTTGATTTAGAATTTATCAGTTTAAGTTAGGATCATCTTATTAGAATTTTATAGTTATATATTTCCTAGATCGAACATATCAGCTTTACCCTTTTTGTAGTTATAAATATTGCTCTAACTGCGTTTGACCAGCAGACAATTTCTTCTTTTTGATCCATCGATGAAACTTATGTCCGATTATGTTGGTATCTGCCGAATATATCATGCAAATACAAGAACATTACCAACACAACAACAAAAAACCCAAAACCGGTATACTTGTGATAATTTTATCCCGAATTAATTTTTTTACCATAAAAAACTCCAAACTGGTACACATGTGACAAATTTACTCCAAACTAATATTTTGACCACGAAAAATCCAAAACCGGTACACCTGTGATAATTTTAATCGGAACTAAGTTTTTGACCAAGAAAAACCCCAAATTGGTACACCTGTGACAAATTTACCCCGAATTAATTTTTTGACCACCAAAAACCCTAAATTGATACATTTGTGATAAATTTACCCTCCGTTAAATTGGATTAATATCACAAAAAACCTCAAATTCGTAAAATTTTGATAAACAGAGGATAAAACCCCAAATTGGTACACTCGTCCACTATTATATGTCATCAAACTTAGCAATTTGAAAGTAAAATTTAACAGAAACTAACATAGGGTAAATTTATCACATGTGTATCAGTTCGGGGTTTTTGATGGTCAAAAAATTAGTTCGGAGTAAAATTGTCACAGGCGTACCAATTTGGAGTTTTTCGTGGTCAAAAAATTAGTTCGAGGTAAAATTATCACTTGTGCACCAGTTTGGGATTTTTTGTGGTCAAAAAATTAGTTGGGGATAAATTTATCATAAGTGTATCAGTTTGAGGTTTTTTGTGATTTTAACCCCAAATAGAAATAAGACGGTCCATTTCTATTTATGGAGGTTAATCGGGCTGTAGGTTTTGTCTGTTCCTATGCTATCGCAAGAATACGTGTTCAATACGATTGAGAGCTCATCCGAATGGCATTCTGTTTTTTTCCAAATCATAGACAGTAGCCCTCTTTGCTTTGCGTCTTATGCCGAACCCAACTAAGTCATGTGTCCACTTCAACGGGTCAAATCACGAATGCTTATGGTTCATGCCATCGTTATCTTTTTGTTATGAGGTTTTGCATGATTTAGGATTGCATGCGTTGCCTTTCTCCCACTTGCGATCTAAGTATACCACGTATTCCTGCTGCCCCCAGCTTGCTTCCCTGTTTTTAATTCAATATTTCCTTCCTTTATTTTTGCAAGGAATTATTTTGTACAGCTGGAGGCGTTATATAAGTTGAAAACAAAAGGAATGTCGTGCTAAGAAGAGGAGCAAGATTTCAACATCAGAGACAGACCCTTCTCTCTCTCTCTCTCACACACACGCACATTGACCAACCCTCCTCATATACCAATATCTTATGGCCATCGGCCGCTGTCCGACCGGTTTCTTCTCACTTGCTTCTTTCTTTTCCTTTCCTCGCTCTTCTTCGGACGACGCCATCTTTCTCCTCCGTTTTCATCATCGCGGGCATCGACCTTTTGGAAGCGCAGGTAATCATATTAGCTTCCTCATCCTGAGTTTTCTTGTTCTTCTCTTCAGTTGGAGGGTCTTTTGCAGGTAAATCAGCTCAAGCACAAGTCCAAGAGAGTGTACAAAGGGCCACGAGAGAAAATGGTGATGGAGATCATCAAGGAGGTACTGACGATACTGATGCAGTTGATGTGGAAAGTGGTGGGACCTCAAGATCTGAAACTTGGAGATCACATTTATAGATATGGGTTCTATGGCTTGTACAGCCATCATGGTGAGTCCTCGTCATCTTCCTCATTTTGCACTAGTCCTTTTTTAACCTACTTCTTTTTCTGGCCAATCTTTTTGCTCTTTAGCCAATCAATTTACACTGATCAACTCCATTTCCAACAACACCTACGAGCCTCAGGAGAAAGTAAAATGTTTCCAGCGGATGGTCCGTCATGTTGAAACCACGAGAGAAGAGAAAAACTACAAAGATGTGTACTCCTAAGCAAACGTCACTTTCCTGTTGAAGAGGATATAGGGTGCGTTTAGTTTAGTTTTCCAAAATGACTTTAAGCCTCTAAAATTCATTGGGAAAAGTTAGGGCCTTTGGTAAAAAAATTTCAGAGTATTGAATAAATGCAATATTGGTAAACCTGAAAACCCAAGGCAAGAGCCTAAGTCAGTACTTGCCTTGGGCTTTTATCATTTTCAGAATGCTATTGTGACGTTTAATGACTTTCTTTTCTTCCAATCTTGCCCTCACTAAAAATTGGGTATTCCACTCTTGCCCTCTAAAAACTCTATTGATCTTCTTTCTCATACACTCTCCATGTGCTCGCTAGTTGCGCTGGTCACTGAGGTTGAGGTCGTCGGCCGTCGTAGTCGAGGCTCACTTGGGGTCGCGCGATCTTGGCGGCAGTTGCTTGGGGTCGCACGACCTTAGAGCGACCCAAATCTTGCCCTTCGGTAGTGGTCGTCGAGGTCACGTGACCTCGGCGTTGCCTTGCCTAGCGTCATGCATCCTTGGCAGCCCATCGCTTGGGGTTGCACAACCTTAGCGGCCCTCTCTTGGGTTGTGTCAACTGTCGGAAGGCCAAATTTGGGTTGCTTCCAAGCGGCCTTCACCTAGGGTCACATGACCCCGGCGACGGGCCGTTGCCACTCTTTTAGGCTTCACCTCGGCTGCTGTCTTTAGTTGATCTGTGCTTCCACTTTCATTCTTCTTCTTTTTTAAACTAAAGCCCTTTATAAGTTTGTAGCAAATAGTGATGACCCAAATACTATTTGCATTTTGCAAAACCCATTTAACCTAAACTCCTGTGCATTTATGTAAAGGTATCTCACAAAAGTTAAATCAAACGCACCTATAAAACAAGTCCACGGCAAGTGGACATTTGGGTCAACTGTGGTTTGTGGAGTTCATTTTCTCATGCTATTTCTCCCAAGCCAAACTTAAACGTTTGCCCTCAGCCCAAACTAAATGATAAATCAATTCCCACTTGTCATCTCGAAGAATTCCAGGTCGAGCGGCAGCCCCACCCGGTTTACCTTTGGCTTTGGAGGCTCCATTGGTTTCGATCTCTTCTCATGCCATTTTCTTTCATTTCATATCTCTATTCCTGTCGCCAGAGAAAAGGCATGAAAAAGTTCTGATAATCTTTTCTTTTTCTTCATTCAATCCTGGAGTGAGAGAATTCTAGAGCTGAGCTGGAATTACAACAGATTTCATTTCAATTGAACCTGCCAAAAAAGATTAGAAATTAATTTAGATTGCTAATCCTTTTTAGGTAAAATCGGCCTACACGTCTATCAAAATCAGATGTTTGTGAATATTTCTTGCATGTTCCACAGTTCGAACCAAGATCGTCCCTAACCAAAAGTCAATCTTCGTTCATATGGATTAAAATTTGATTCCTTACCATGTTCCATACGCATATATATGATAGGAATTTACGTCGGCGACGGCTACGTGATTCACTTCACCCGAACTCAGAGCCAAAAAACAATAGTCCCATCGCTGTCCAATATTAGCCACAAGCAAGAAAATTTGCCTCCCTGCCCAAAATGTGAATACCAGGAGAGCATCCACCGTGGCGTTGTCAAAACTTGTCTCGATTGCTTTCGGCGAGATGGCAAGAACCTCCGATCCCTTCACTGTTATGAATACGGGTGGCCAGTATTAGGGTTTAAGCTCGCGAGGCGAGGAACTTGCACCACGCTACTTGATACCAAATTTCCCCATGAAGTCGTCGATAAGGCTCACAACCTTCTTGCCAACAGTGCTTTTGGCAACTACAGCCTAATCAACAACAACTGCGAGCATTTTGCCACATTTTGCCGGATCGACGTTCGTGCAAGTGAACAGACGACATTTGTCAGTGATTGTCAGCGGAAAATTAGGGAAGCCAAAGAATGGACCATGAAGTTGCTGCAGAGAAACTGAATTCAAGTGATCCAACCTTCCTCCAATCTTGTATTGTCTGTCTGTCTGTTTGTTTTTTTGTATATCTATTGCGTTGCATATTCAATTGCGAGAGACATCCACACGTGCACAGAAAAAAATTTTGAATAGAAAAATGTGTCCCACTTAGCTTATTCGTGTGTGGACATGTTTATGTGGAGATATATTTTTTAAGTTTATGAAAAGGGTCTAACAATGGTCATTATATCCCATGTCCAGAAATATGATTAATTATTTGTTGGCATTTGGTGTTCCTTATGAGTAATGCTTTGTGATATTTTGTGAAATCATAGCCCAATGTTCTAAAAGTTTAAACCGTCGCATGAAAATTTGATTTGATATCTATATCTCTAACACTCCCCTCACGAGTAAGCGAACTTTGAGCTAAGACTAAGCGTATACATGTACAAGTATAATATATATATATATATATATATATATATATATGTAGCAGACAAATAAGGGGTTTGAAGAGATTTAAACGCAAAACCTCCAGTTTTGATGTGATGTATGATTTTGTGGAATTGTTGCCAACTATTATAAACATTTAATATTCTCACGAGGCAAACGGTCCTCCCAGTCAAATATGCCGAAAGGCAAGAGTAGATGCTGATGGAACCTCACATTCTCATACCACTTCATGAATAATGATATTTGGCACCACATAAAATTGATCTATCGATGACAACGAGGTGAGTTTCTTAGTAGGGTTCGAAAAATGATTCGCAGGCCAATGAGTGTCTAGCAAGAACTCATCCTATAATTATTATTATTATTATTATTATTATTATTATTATTATTATTATGATACAAGTAGACGTAGAGATACAAAACTTTCGAAAACGATTTGAATTATAGCATATGTACTAATTTTGATTTTTTATTTCCTTCGCTTCAAACCTATTTGCATTGAAAATTTTGGCAAAAACCTAGAAAGATATTTGTAATTGGAGAATGCATCATTTATCTGTTTGGTCCATAAACTTTCCAATTAGGCCGGGTCATGGAGACACATTTAATTTCTATTAGATGAGCAGATATACCTTCTTTAGTAGTGTTGTTTCTTTTTCCCTTTTTTTTTCCATTAAAAGAATACTGTCCATTCATGTAAAAGAGATAATACTAACCTATTTTTTATTTCAGCGTAATGCCTTCCCAAACTTGCGGGTCCCTTCGACCTTTGATAGATGTTCGTGCTGAACATTTGTAATATTCCATAATACGGACCGACTGATAAATTTCGTATACGTGTACCACACAATCAGGAGAGCATTATTATTTGAACTCTTAACAGATATTGAACTGCGCAACGACATAGCTAGATTTATAGTCCAACCTCCGCTTGTCATCTTGTCAACTATCGGAAGTGTTCTTCTTCTTCTTTCTTTTGTTTTTGTTCTTTGACAAGATCAAATCAGTTTGCTTTCAATTTTAGTGCAGCATGGACGACTAGATCCGCTTGGGTTTTGCTTAGTTTTGTTCACCACCTCGAACAACTCACTGACATAGACACTGACAGAGACAGGATCAATCTGCCGTAATCAACTTTCATCATCTTCCCACTAATTAAGTTCCACGGCCTTTCAAGAAGAACGAGGACATTAATCGTATGGAAGCAAGTCGCCTTGGTATGAAACCGGAACATGCATAACTTGCTCAACAAGACAAGAAATTACTTGATTAGTTTTTTTTCTTACTTAAATATCAATTTGTATCGAAATAATTTCTTAATAAAGACGAAAAGGAGCTATACAGTTTCAAAGTTCCTGTCCATATTCTTTTTTCGTGCAGGCCTGTAATACTTAGTGAGAACGAACCTTAAAGATGTATTTTTTATTTTATTGTAGTAGTGAAAATACATTAATCAATCCGTCTCTTATTTTTTACTTTTGAAAAGTGTTTCCTAAAATCGAGGATGCAATTTCACTTAAAATAAAAGTAACACCATTCTTATAAATTTTGAATCCTGTATTTGATATGACAGTAACCCACTTTTTTAATATTAGTTCCGATGCCTTCTCATGAAGTCTGAAAATATAATATACATCAACAAATTTGAATATCTATATTAGCACGGATTCAATATGATACGAATGGACAACTCATGTATTATGTAAGATGTATTCGAAAGAAAAGAAAAAAATCTAATTGTAGGGAAACTTACAAAAACTCGTAAACTTTTGCATATATGACATTCAGTCCTAAACATTTTGACGTTTTGCTAATGTAATTCATTAAGCTAATTTTCGCCGAAAATCGCTGATATGGATATTGACCATCTTACGTGGCACAGCCAATACTGAAGTAGATAATTTTTTTTCAATTTTTCAATTTTCCATTTTCTCCTTTTCTTTTTTTCTTCTCTTTTCCTTCTTTTCTTTCTCTTTTTAATTGTGGCCAGTGAGCTTCGGTATGGCTCGTCGGCCACTAGGCGAGGGCCAGGAAGCCTTCGCTGGCCACTATGAAGGGCAAAACAAGAAGGAAAAGAGAAGAAAAGGAAAAAGGAAAGAAAATCGTAAGACAGTCAACATTCACGTTTGTAATTTTTGGGAAAAAATGGCCACTATATTGGCAAATTTTCAAAAGGTTTATAATTTTTATTGGTAATTATCCTCTTATTGCACTACATTGATCAATTCAGGATGAATGCTGATGGTTTGAATTTGAGCACTGTTGACACTTAAATTTTAGCAACCCCCTTAACATTAGTTCACATTTTCATTATAGGCATTAGTAACACCTTCATAGCACTCAAGTGGGTCCGATCATGAATGACATTGGCTTGATCGGGGATTGCATTGTAATCGGCCTAATATTTCCCTTTTACCTAAATAAGATTGCATGCGGTGATTATGGTTGGCCGTGAATGGTGAATGAGAGAAAAAAGGAAACAATTCTGATCGGGAGCTAAGAAAAGAGAAAGAAAAGCTTGTGCAGATTCAGTCAACATGAAGGGATCAAGAAGCTTAACCATTGCAAGATTTTTGCGTGAAACAAAGAAGAAACTATGGGCTGACTGGGTTGAATTTCAATTGGGACAAGGGGACCAATCAATCCAGCAAATTTCGATCAGCTAAATGGAGGAATTGGTGGGATATTTTCCATGAATTAGATAGCTCAGTCAAAGAATTGGTCATGAAAAGATTGGGAGCTTGAAGTGATAAGAATGAACCAAATCCCCATTCTTTCGTGAGCACCTCCAGATTTGATGAAATTCTTTTTGGCAAGATACATTTTGGAGAATTGAAATCGTGATAGGAATCAATGGGATTTGTCCAGCAATATGAAAAGAATTAACACTCAAGAAAAGCCGAATTGAAAGATTGAGAGAAGAGGAAATTAAGGGGATAATGCTGTTCGTGAAATCGTAAACAATGGCAAGTGAATGTGGACACATTCAAGGCAATATGAGTGGGAGCGGAAAAGGCAACCTGAAGATTTCGAGGAGAGGCGATATTTGAAGCACTAATTCACGGCGACAAATCAAGTCTAAAATTCGGCAATCCCCACGATTATAGGAGCACGGGTTTAGACTTTCCAATGATAAATGGAAGTCTTTTGCTATAAAAAGGGGGCTGGTTGAGCCATTATAGAATAGGAAGTGGAACTCGAAATAGAGAGAGTTCAAAAATACGAGAGAAACAAGAGAGTTCTTTTCTGTGGCTATGGTTCTACCACATCCTTCTTCTCGATAATTTGCAGCGAATTCCTTTGTTCTAGCAGCCTAGTTGCGTCGCTCTTGCTATTCTCAATTCCGTGTCGCTGCTGCATCGCTGCTGTTTGCTGCTGCGTCACTGCTGCTCGCTGTTGCTCGTCGCTGCTGCTCGCTCTTGCTCATTCGCTGCTACTCGCTGTTGCTCATCGCTGCTGCTCGCTGTTGTCTACTGTTGTTCGTCGTTGTTATTTTTGTGTCGTTGCTTGTTTGTTGTTGTTTCTTTGCTGTTATTTCTTCTTTGCATCCTCACCGCCGCTGTTCGCCATTATTGTTGCTGCTACTCATCGTTGCTGTTCGCTGCCGTTTGCTGCATTGTTACTTCTCATCATTGTTTTCTGTTCATTGTCGCGACCGAACTCCCGAGCCCTTTTTTATCGAACATGCAAAAAAGGGGGGGCTCGCCTGGTACGTGCTAAGTCTAGGTTCAGGACTTAACTCGGGCTCTCCCAAGCCCATACCATATCGCGACTTAGGGTTTAAGTTTTTAACATGCAAGTGGTTTATATCGAGGAGTCGCCACTAATCGATTTGGGGTGGGTAGATTAGAAACCCAAATAGGGTGATGGGAGAATCACCCTATTCCTGCGAACCAGAGATTAACTGAATTCGGGGACTTGGTTACACTAATTGGATAACTAATGCCCTTTCGGTACCATTTTACCCTGTTCATTTCTGAAAACATTTGTCAGGCAATTTGAATTGATTTTAGGACCTTTCTCCTAACATGTGAGGTGATCAAGCGAGTGCATAATCAGAACCGATTAGCAGTCAGGAACACAACAATGCATGCAGCCTAAGGTTCTAACCTTAACTAAGTCAGATGACATTCAAAACACAACAGCTCATGCAATTGTATTAAAAAACATGCATAATAATACAGCGATAATAAAAACTAACATGCAAAATACTACCGCGCAACCTCAGGCTTGTCTAATTCAAACAAGACAAAAAAAACATGCATAATAATACAATAAATTAAAACACTTAGATATAACATATAAAAAAAAATTAAATAAATTTTTTTTTCTTTTCGGAATAAAATAATAATAATAATAATACAGAAGAAGGAAAAAAAAAATTTCTTAAAAAATTTTTTTTTTTAAATTTTTTTACAATTTTTAATTTTTAATTTTTAAAATAAAATAAAATAAAAATATAATATTAACCGGGTCGGGTCGGATCCGACCGGGTCAATCTGATCCGACCGGGCGTTGACCCGGTCGGATCGGTCAATCCGGTCGGTCGGAACCGACCGGGTCAACGGATC